GTACTAGATCGCGATGTAGAAAATAAATGTATATTGTCTGAACTAGGCTGTTGTCAGGGATCAGGAGGAGTGCCATCCAGTTGCAGATTTATCTAAATAACTACAGAGTCTGCTACATTTTATGTCATTTTTATCCCCTACTCTGTATACAGAGATCTCCGTCCGGAAACCTGGCGCAAGGTGGGAGTCGTTGTTTTGTGCTTTTAGAAGGTCCAATGCATTTTAGGACCTCGTAGACAAGGCAGGGCTTTGTCAGGTCTATCTGATGATCTAGGGAGAGGCGGCCTCTTCTTGCTTATCTGTTCTTCAGCACTTTGATGTGGTCCGGAGTGGTCTCTGGTTTATTGGTGCTTCCGGTCATGGTTTTGACCAGCCCCTCTAGTATCATTGGATAATTTGATAACATGTTGAGTGGTCCCATTTTATTGGTCCCAGGGAGTTGACTTTTATTGTTTATGCGCATGCTCTATAATGGTGGTATTTCGGGGGTTCAAATGTATCGATGTCATTGGGCCACGCACGTGATAATGTCATCTGTTGCTTTATGTCACTCGTTGGTCTACTTTTGACGTGTCCTTTCTTGCAATTTACTGTCCCTTTAAAAAGCTCATTCTGACCTGCCTAGCAGTTGTAACATTGTCAGTGCTCCTGGCAATATTTTAATGACTGTTTAATACCAATTAATCAAGATAAATGTTGTCCTATGTTGACAATCCCCACTAAATAAAAAGTACAGTAGCAAATCTTTGAAGAACGGACGAATTTTTTTTTTGTCATCTTCCTTTATTTTCACTTACTTTCTATTCGTAATCGATTCAGTCGAGTTTGATGAGTTCCATAATTATGAATGATTTGCTAACTTTTTCATTGTTTTATATCGTCTGTACGTTTGAGGTTAGTTAATATGCATGATATTCAAATTTTTTATCTCGATTGGAAGAAAATGTTTGATATGGTTCGACATTATTATAGCTAGCATGTGACATTTTATGATTCGGTCTACTCTTTTTTTTATGAATAAGTCGCTAAACAAACACATTTTGAAATGCAACTGTAATAATAGTACATTATCTGATGTACGTGACTCATAAAAGCTCTAATGATCCCTACTAATGGGCTGGTAAGCAGCAAACGAACACATGTATCGTTACCGGATCTCTTGGAAATGAGGCTATTTTGTGATTTCACGGGATTGTTGGGATAACGTGGGATTCCACAATTACAGGGGATAGTATGATCACGTGAGATTTTAAGATATAAATATCTTTTTTTTTTTTTTAATTTTTGGAAGTTTCAATGATTAGAAAGCGTCACATTGACAAAATATAAGAGGTCATCTCACGTGGACGAATATGCACGTGCTTTGTATTCTATTGATATATATATTATTTTTAAGTATATTATTTCATGAGTCACCGAGATTAAATATTCCGTTATTGCTCAGTAGTTTCTGATAGGGATTTCTTAATCGTTCTATTTATTCATGGACCTTGTTGATTTCATACTCTACTTGGCGATTTGTTGCATGACAAAACATGTAAACATGTGTTTGTGCTCAAAATTATATAGGAAAACACTGTATATAGATTTAACATAATCATTTTTTTTTGTACCCTCATCAATATCACTCACACGTCCGGGTTTTATTAGCAAACCATAGCTATATATCAGTAACAGTGGTACCAATAACCTCCAATTAGTTCGCCATTTTTGAAACACTGCCTGTGGTGCCAGGGCCAGATCTGGCGTGTCTGATGGTGAAGTAGATTAGAGGGAACCATAACTTCCTTCTTGGTGGCGTGCTGTCAAAATCTTTCTGGATGTTCCTGGCCTTAATTCTAATATATGTGACGGAAGCGTTGTCAATAAACGTGTTTGCATCGACATTTCGCCAGTTTGTTATTATAACTCTGATTTACCCAAGCTTACGAGAACAAAAAGTCCACAGACTCAGATATCTGGCGTATAGAAAAATGAGATAAAACGCCATATACCTATGATTATGTTTAAGAATGTGAAGAATATTTTATGATTTTCTAAAATATCTTTTATTTCGGCAGTATCACCCTAAACCCCTCTAGTTCATCCGTTGCGGGAATAATATGACCGTCCAAATGTCATGACACTGTGTTTAAGTCGGAGATATTTCGGTGAGATAGAGCTTTTAAGAGATCCTATAGTGGCCCCTCGTCCATTGACATCGTCGTCATATGATCTAACTGTTGACCGTTATTATAGACATCAATCATGTCTTGGGACTCTGTAACGGACGACAACTCTGATTTAAATGTCTAATTATCTCTAACACAAACTCTCTCACGCGTTCTTACTCATACCGTATGACTCTCACGTGTACTGTCTCACTGTTAATACCGAGATGTAAACTATTAGCTGCTTGCATTTATAGCCTGTATGAATGCCATTTGAATGTAGTAGTGATATACTATGGCAATGTCGTACGATGGTAAGTATATCGTTACAAGGCAATAGAGATGATATGTATAAAAGGTACATTTACATACACAAATACCAGTTATAGTTACTTGCGATTTCGCCTATCTTGAATGTCTGGATGGTAACTTGTTGTTTTAATGAACTATAGAGACGCATTGCTAAGCTGTTATTTATGTATTGATGTGAACGTCAACATAGTTTTGATGCCATATATATGTATGTAGAGTAGACTATCCAGAAACTAAACGATATTCAATGGACGAATTAATGAATTTAAAAAAAATATGTATGGGGGGTTTCGCTTCAAGTAATAGTTAAAACAGTCTTGCATATATGTACTCTTATGCTGTGACAAAGCAAAGATGTTAACACCCAAGTAGACAAATAGCATGCATTGACTCATTAATTAACATTGGTAATCCAACTATGAAGTTAAATCACATGAGTTAGCATGATACATGAAATGACGTCATATGGCTAGTTTGGGCATGCAACAGAAGGACTCACGCAACTGAATATATGTTTTATTGTTCGACACCAGGTGCACCCGTCTAGATTGATAGATACATACCCGACAAAGTCTGCAAAATATAATTTTGACAGGTTAAATGGCATATACAAGTGTAAGACCATTACAGACTTCAGTTGTTGAGAACTAGAAGTGTACAAGCCAAACCAGTGAACTGCAGCAAAATTAAGTCAGTGCTGATTGGCTGATGCAATTGTTGGAGTCCTTAAAAAAGGACAAAAATAGGCAGAAATATATAAACGGAACACCGCATGAATTAAGTCGACCATTTAGGAGATCAATAAATAAAATCTTACATCTTACATCTTACAAAGAATATTACATGAAACCAGTTTTGTCTTTATCCTCATTATATATTGGACTTCCCCTTTAATTCTCATTGGTTAGATCATGATCAGGTGCATGTCCGAGATTTGTGATATTGACTTGTTTGTTGGTACTATTTTTAGAAAATAGCAGAACAATATTATCTTAATGACGTTATTTCGAAAGTAACGTCACAATGCTCTCTGACAAATGAATTTTTCCTTTAACGATTTTCAAACGTTCTACCGTGATTACTGATCAAAATTTAATTTAGTATTTAATACAATGTACAACAAGCAATGGCTTTTATTTCAGTTCATATGTGGTTACACAAACCTGAAAAATGGAATTGTCTCCGACAAGAAATAAAATTTACATATATTTGTCAAATTATCTACAACAAAATCGACAGTCAAAAGATAAAACACGGTTAACTTTAAACAATAGATAGGAAAACACGTGCATGTCATTAAACGGCAATGATATAATGCTTCTGAAAACGTGTTTACCCAATACAACCAAATGTTGTTCCAAATAATAAGACCGTAATTCATTGCTGACAGAGAGATCCAAAGGCATTCCGAAAATCGTTAATGTATTGTTGTCAATTTAAACCGACTAAACAGGCCCCATGGGCCGGCCTGTATTCTTTCTTTTCTGATTGATGTCATTTCCGCCTCAGTGTATCACCTCGTTTGACATCGTGTGTATTGAAATTAATAATAATCGATCGTTAAATTGAATTTAAAATGGCCTCATTTCATTTCTGTTATTTGTTTTCACGGTTCCAATAATGACATCGTTTATTTCTGGGGGGGAAATGTGTTATTACGTGTAAACGTTGGTGGCGATGGGTATACAGGTAATACGGGCCTTCGGTTATTGTTTTATGTCTAGTAAAGAATATTACAGCTTTGACTTGTAAATTTCACTGAGACAATTATCTTAAAAAGTTTTCTTATAATTTAATATAATTAAACCAATTTCACTAAACTTACGACCACATCTAAAGATGTCTTCTCAATAGTAATTGTTTTAGTTTTTATTTGATTTTTTTTTTGTAGAAGACATTTTGTAATGTTTTTCGACACTGTCTTGATGAGTACAATGTAACACCGCTCGTTTTCATTCGTCTCTCAAATGACTTTCTAGCCTGTTAACACACTAGTATTCATGAAATGTTATAAGTGCTTAAAATGAAACTAAATGCTCGTAGATTGTCGTGTGTTATTTTAATTTCTTTTATTTATTGCGAGTATGACGTCTTTGCCATAGTGACACCTAAAACGTGTTGGTTTATTGCGGTCGTTTTCTTGAATTTCTCCTCAAATTAATCTTATTTATGACATCTGGTGAATTATCTTCACTTGTGGGAACTGAACTGTTATATTTAGAATAACCTGATAGATTTTCCAGGTCAGATGTGAAAAGGTATGGGGTCACCTGTCCGAACACATGGGTTTTCTCCAGGTACTCCGGTTCCCTCCCACATAAAGATTCCCATCGCGCTAACATTCGGGCCAACAAGAGTGACGAATAAAAGTTGAAATAGCTTGTTTCATAATTGATGTAAAATAAACATAATTTAATTTTTAATCTCATAGTATCATGAAAATAAAATAGTCATACTATTGACACTAAAGTCAATATCTATTGCTAGTTCTAATAGCTGTGTTATTAATTTTAATAATGTGTTTTTTTTCTTCTGCAGTTCCTGGTCAGTTATGGTCAGAATGGTGGACGTACCAGGGTATATCAGGTAGGTACTTTTTGATGATATTGACCAAAAGTGCTCGACCATATTACGCTTGTATTCCTTAGCGAGTAAACGGATACTTATACCGGGTCGATCGAGACACTTCGGGTTTCTCACGTTGATCATACACGTGATAGATTTTGACTGTTGACGGACAAGCTACTAACATAACGTTTTTATTTGGTGGTCGCAATCTTGATCGCATTGGGAATTAAAAATATGTAATGTGTGTGCCATGTGAAGGTCGATGTGATGTTATGTAATGTGTGTGCCATGTGAAGGTCGATGTGATGTTATGTAATGTGTGTGCCATGTGAAGGTCGATGTGATGTTATGTAATGTGTGTGCCATGTGAAGGTCGATGTGATGTTATGTAATGTGTGTGCCATGTGAAGGTCGATGTGATGTTATGTAATGTGTGTGCCATGTGAAGGTCGATGTGATGTTATGTAATGTGTGTGCCATGTGAAGGTCGATGTGATGTTATGTAATGTGTGTGCCATGTGAAGGTCGATGTGATGTTATGTAATGTGTGTGCCATGTGAAGGTCGATGTGATGTTATGTAATGTGTGTGCCATGTGAAGGTCGATGTGATGTTATGTAATGTGTGTGCCATGTGAAGGTCGATGTGATGTTATGTAATGTGTGTGCCATGTGAAGGTCGATGTGATGTTATGTAATGTGTGTGCCATGTGAAGGTCGATGTGATGTTATGTAATGTGTGTGCCATGTGAAGGTCGATGTGATGTTATGTAATGTGTGTGCCATGTGAAGGTCGATGGGATGTTATGTAATGTGTGTGCCATGTGAAGGTCGATGGGATGTTTGTACTTTGTCGTTTTGTTGTCACTACCCCAGTTCACTCTACGAGGACGTGTTAATTTTTATTTGACCTAGATTAGTACAGGACACTTACGTTTACCTCGTTTGTTTCAAGGATCTAAATGTAAATAAAGGTGATTTGCATCTAGGAGATTTCAGCAGCTACCACGATTTAATAGTTGTTGCCTTATTAAGTTCGTAGGCGGCAAGTTAATTAATAACTTCCCTATTCGACAGGTATATCTTGAAAAGTATCAAATGTGGAGAATGAAGCCTGTTTGATTCCGTACAACCTGTTTTCGTCTCTGTTGTTTTTGTGAGGTTCATGTCTTTACTTTGTGTCCGTGTCTTCTTTCTTACTCAGAAGAAGCTTACCCTTTCTTACTTAGAAGAAGCTTACCCTTTCTTACTCAGAAGAAGCTTACCATTTCTTACTCAGAAGAAGCTTACCCTTTCTTACTCATAAGAAGCTTACCTTATCTTACTCAGAAGAAGCTTACCCTTTCTTACTCAGAAGAAGCTTACATTATCTTACTCAGAAGAGGCTTACCCTTTTTTACTCAGAAGAAGCTTACCCTTTCTTATTTAGAAGAAGCTTACCATTTCTTACTCAGAAGAAGCTTACCATTTCTTACTCAGAAGAAGCTTACCCTTTCTTACTCAGAAGAAGCTTACCTTATCTTACTCAGAAGAAGCTTACCCTTTCTTACTCAGAAGAAGCCTACCCTTTCTTACTCAGAAGAAGCTTACCCTATCTTACTCAGAAGAAGCTTACCCTTTCTTACTCAGAAGAAGCATACCCTATCTTTCTCAGAAGAAGCTTACCCTTTAAGAGCACCTTTGCTCATTCTACTTCGACGTTTTCAAGTTTCTTGTTTATCTTCCCTTTATTTCATATTTCCTCCTAAATCTATCAATTTTAAGTTTGGGTTTGTTGTCACCTCGGTATTCTCATTTTGGTTTTTTTCTTCCCTTCCTTTGTTTTCGAGTTTTGATTTGGACCTTGAACGAATTCTGTGTATAGACAATGTGGTACATTCTTCTGTACGACCTTATTGAATTTCGTTGACCATGACTACAATTCTGGTCTATCCCTACCAAGTGTTCTAGTCAATACTGACAGACGATTCATGATGCTAAGCCTGATTGTAATATGATTACAGGTGACCCGACTTTCCCCTCTGTTAGTATTTAGCGCGAGGCCACCAAAGACAGAACTATTGACTATCACGTGGTCAATACGCCCAGATTGGTCACCGGTATTTTGGTTCCACTGTCTCATTGTAAATTGAGTGCTGGTCAACAATAGCGACGCTTTGTAATTACTGCTTGTCCAGTCTAAGAATAGACTTGTGCTGGCCGATATCCAGAGCCTAAACTAAAATGTATGTGATTCCCCCCAAAAAACTTAACAGAAATTCCTTCAACTTATGTGTAAGGTAGCGGATCAAAAGACCATTATGAGCAGAAGACCCAGATCTCGTGCTGGGGTTTCGAATAGGAACAATGGAGGAAATTGTTTAAAATCGAAATATCTGGAGCTGGAGAAAAGTCTTAATCTCCAAACGAGGATCTCCATTTTGACAGTCATAAATGCCTCCTAATAAAAGACGAGAGTAAAAATGAACACGAGGAATAGAAAATATTATGAAATACTCGTGAAATGTGTCTTGGTTGTCAACGCGTTTGAATATGTAAAAATTATATAAAAATTACAAAGAATTCAAAGTAACACAGATTTTGATTCAGTATATATAACACAGATTCAGTCTTGTAACAAAATTAAGCCAACCTGATATTGATTTTTAAAAGTATTCGGTGTCGTGAACCAAAAATGTGATATACTTTTGCTAACACATGTGTTAAATTGAACTATTCTAACTTCTCAAAGTAGCAAACTTGCCCCTTTAGCTTTTTCTGTTTATACATTTAAAAGTAAAATTCGCACACTGTGATTGCCATATTAGCGAAAAAGGTGCACTGTGAATATAAAGAAAACAAAACGGAAACAACTAAATATATCTATTGCTAATATTAGCCTCCCAAGTGCTTGTATTGTAATTTCGTATACAAGTAATATTTAGTTTCATAGTAGTATACAGGCGAATACCGACACATACAGGCGCACATAGGTGTACACAGGCGCATAAAATCGTAAATGACCTTTGAGTTTCATTGTCACATAGTTCCCAGCAATTTGATTTTGGAGACGTAATACACTCAACAGTCCTTGCGAAGTGTTCCAGGGTTTTAGTACCATGACCCACATATTGTAGGTGTAACTTAGACAGTAACTATTTACGACAGACATTGGTATTGTACAGAGTTGTCTGTCTGTGTACAGAGTACAGTGCTTGAATTTCCAGGCCCCACTATCATGAACTAGTGACTCCTATTAAAGACGTTTCTTTATTTTACAGTTACATATCAAAATATAATTTTACAAACATAATCATGAACATTTTAGTTGTTTTAAAAGTTCCATCAACGGCTGAACATTAATTGTCTTATGATACTTGAGAAAGTGACGAAGACATCAACAATATGATATAAATACTAAAACAAATCCTGAATTACTTTTAATTTGGAAAACCGGAGTACCTGGAGAAGTGGAAAGCACCCGGCGGCTGCCCTTTGTGGGCTCGAACTCGCATACAAGTGGTTGAGGCATAGTGATCATATATGATCTGAGACATTAACTGATTGCCCGTCGCGGGCCCTGTGATTTTCATAATTGTATAGCAGTATTTTCAGTTACTAGCCGATTGCGTCCACATGTACAGAGTTGAGCTCCCGTGACTTAAAGGATGTCTTCTCATTTGTCTGACACGTACTTGCAATGACAGATATTTTTTCATGAATAATTTTCGCTATTTCTGTATTTGATTTTCCTGTGAAAATTACCTTTATTTCAAAGAAAATAATGAAACAGTCTTGGACTTAAGTCTTTGATGCACACTTGTAGAATGGATTTTTTTGAAATTACGCCTGTCTTTAAACTCAATGGCAATTTTCAAAGAAAATATATTAACGGTGCAGTACTTCAGTTCAATGGACTTAAAGCTAACAATTACCTCTCCTCCTGATTCAACTCTAATTTAGCTTATAATATTTTAGCAGAAAAAAAGAATATTTTTATGGCAATGACAGGCATTATCAAAATACCATATCAATTTGTGATAATTCTGAGCAATGACATTAAGTGGCTTACCCTAGCCGAGTGTATCTTGCATTGTCAGGAGACAAATCCATATATTGAGGGACATTCCCCACCATAAACTCAAGCTTTGTGGTTACAAATACACATACACACGTATTATTGAAAATAGATTATTAAACTGGTTAAATCATAGTAACAAATTGTACGAAAAATCTATTGATCGGGTAATTAGTTCATCAGTCACCTTGATAATTAAACATTATACAACTTTAAAAATAGTTTGAATAATATCATATTGAGAACCCGTTAACACTGGATCAATGGATCAATTACGAGGAATTTAAAGAATTTGAGTCGTGCTTCCCAACTCCTACTACATTTGCGCATGTTCCCTTCGACAAAACCCTCACTTCCGGAACAATTTTTGATTTTTGACGATTTTGATGTACGATAATGTAGCTTCCGGTGCATCGCGTACGGTTTTCATTTTACACATATATTAAATTTGACGTTATAGAAGACGATGCCAATTGGAAAACCTGACTACTGAGTGTCATTTTATTGTGTCACAAAACTAAAAACCTTATTGCCACAGGGTCATCAGATGTCTTCTTTATATCGCCAATATTTGCCAAACGACGTTTTAACGCATACAATAAGACGGTACAGGAAAATAACGATTCTGTAAGACAGGGGTGATACATGTACCACGGCTACCAAACATTTATTTCAAAAGCAGCATTTTAGTGTATGGTGATATTCGAACCCGAGATTATCTGTTCAAAAGAAAAGTGCTAGACTAGACTAGATGTTTAATACTTCAAAGCCATAAAATACCATGTTTGAACCTTCTACTGAAAAACGCCAAGATACTGGCGTTCAAGTCGGGGCAATGTAAATTAACAAGCGATAGTCTTAATCCAGAGAAAGGCCGCATTCCCTTTGTCATTAATTCTGATTTCAATTAAAATTTCGATGTAGTCTTTTTGGCAGTTCCATATCAAAATGATAATTTTTTAA